ATCAGTTGCATTCACAAATAAGTTTGGACAAGATGTAAAGAATGTGAATTCAAAGGCACTTTTTCTTAAACCTTTTTAAAAGTTTGTGGGGTTAAATCAAGATGGGAAGACTGAAAATTCAGAGCTGAAATACTTAGAGTATAAAGGCTTTTGCTCTGAATGTAAAAATAAGCCCCAGAGAAAAAAAATCTATGGTTAATAAGGCAAATTAGTTTCCTGCTATGCATAAAGCTTGTAGCAGTGTTTTCATGGAAGAGTTCTAAGCAATTCTGGGTTTGTTGGGGGGGGAGGGGTGTTCAGGTTTAATAACAATGGAAGTTAAAACAATTGGTTTGGAGATTTTTTTAAAGATCAGTAAGAATGTTTAGTGAGCTATAAACTCAGTTGCTTCAAGAGTTTCAGTCAGAAATAAGTAGAGTAACTGGACAAGTCATATAAAACCTACAGAAAAAAGTAGAGTTATTAAATTTTGCAAAAGCTTTAAAATTTACCTATCCAATGTTTTCTTTTTTTTTTTTTGTTCAGTCTGTATTTTCAGTCAAAATGAAACAAAATTCTAAAATGGAAATTGGATGTGGAGAAGTATCAGCTGATAGAAACTGCATTTTTAATAAACCGAAAGTTCAAATAGCTTCCTAAATTCGTACTTTCAGGGGAAAAGAAAGTACCAAATAATGTGTTCCAGAATAATGTTCCTCATTTTAGTAACAGCCAACGCTTACGTATTCTAAAAAAAAAATGGAAAAGGATTATCAGAGGAACACGCTGTACAAAAACATTGCAGATAGATAGGAAATTTGTTCAAGGAAAAGAATATTCAGCCAAGTTGTAAAACATACCCACTGGAGGTAGGTTTAGACCTACGGGTCATTGTTCGCCATCGCTTTAACTGGGCATAAAACAGCATTGCCCTGCAAAGAAACAGCCCCCCAAACTCCCACCTTGGCTGCTCTTCCTCTCCTTTGGCAGCACAAGTGCACCTGTATTTTTTAAGTATTATTCTTCAGCCCATTGTCCTACCAGTGCCAAGGATTTTTTTATTAATGTATTTGTGTTGAAAGCGTCTTTATTTGAGACAGCTGCGTAGCACAAGCAAAACACGAAACGGGCTGCACCCCGCTTTCCCAGCTGCAGGTCTGTGCTGGAGGGTGGGTGTTGAGGTCCTCGGTGCTTCAGCGGGAACCCTGTTTTACAGGGCAGGCTTTGGGTCAAGAGCAAAGCTGGGCGCATAGCGTGGAGGAAGAGCGTATCAGGAATTTAGATGAGAGGAAGAGCAGTGGATAGAGAGGCCTAAAAATAAAAATAGATTAAAACCACAGACTTGATGAGTGAGATAGAAACTGTCAGCTATTTCAGGGATCTTCTATCAGACTGATAAACGCTCTGTAATTCTCATACTGACACGCCAATAAAAACGGGTGGCATTCAGTGGATTACTTGGGGAAAACCTAACCTGTACCAGTTTGCATATCTCTGTAGTACATGTATATGCATATGTACGTACGTATGTCTACATATATATACGTAAACACACAGGTACACGTACAAAATACCTTGTTCAAAAGGTCATATGCAAGCCAGGTTTGCTTAAAGGTGGGAAGTATATGCACACCAAAGGCATCAGTCGGTTTATTTGCTTGCTATAGGTATGTACTGTTGATATATAAATGTTCTCCTTAGCTAAATAGCAAGCATGAACTGCAGGCCATAGGAGAGATATTGTACGTAAAGGAAGCCATGGCTAGCAAGCTTAACTGTCAAAAACTATCGGAACAAAACTGCGGTTCAGTACATGGAATATGGTATGACGTGACGTGTTACTGAAGGTCTGTTACATTGGAAAGCTGACTGATTTTTTCATACATTCTTGTGAGGACACAGTGAGTTAAAATACTGAGTTGCAAATAATTTTTGAAAGTTTGGTCAAAATTATGGCATATTCTGAAACATATAAATGAAGTAAATTCCTCACAAAGTTATAGCAGTCGGTTATAGTAGGCAAAGTGGAGACCTGCTATATACGCCATGATTAAAATTCTCAACCAAGAACTCAAGGGGATATTACGTGGTGGAATTAATCTTAGTCATCCTATACTGTAGGCTCTTACCACCATTTTTTTTAGTAATTTTTTCAAGGTTATTTCTGTTTCTGTGCCTGAAAGGACCAAAGTTAACATACATCGAGTCTAATGATACTGGAAAAGCATCTGCTTTTCTATGATGGTATTTCTAATGTATGTGTCTGCCTTTTAAGGCAGAGATATGAGTCTTCACACAAAACACATGCTAAAATTTTCAGTTTTCTTTTTCTCAGAAGTACAACTTCCTTGCGATTCACATCACTAAGCTTTTACAGTAGAAAATAAGCCTTCTACTCCTTGAATTGCCATGAAAATAATGCCATCATATTTGGGGATTAGAGATGCCATCATCCCCAGACCTTCATAATGAAGATTATGACTGAGTCAGTCATCTCTAGTTTCCTGGATTTTTTTGGGGAACAGATTGCTTGACTACTTGCATTTTTCCCTTCCTGAGATGCCTTTGATTATGACGGTAATTTTAGTTTTCCATATTATGTGATTCTGAATTCTATGAGGTAGAAATTTGCTCATGTGTCATGGTATAAGGACATGTCCAAATGTAGAAGCAACAGAATTTTTTTTCGTGTTACCTGGCCCATTTGTAGGTCTACATCACTGCACATTTGCCATATTATACTTACTTTACTTGCTCCACAGGTACATTACATACCCTAATGGTTTCCTAGCCTTTGTTTTGCAAATGATGAGTTCCGTCTCTTGCAGAATGATGGCTTTAAGTCTATCTCCTTTATGTTGCCTTGTATTATGAGTAGCTTTTCTAAAGCTTACATTGGCCCATTTATCTCCCTGCTGGTGTTTTGGTATCATTTGCAGTGGAGACTTCAGTTAGAAAAGTTTCACAAATGTTGACCTCACGTTTACTCTTGCCTTACCTGTTCTATTTTTTTGGTGAGCCTGTTGTGTTCCTTGCACTTTTCTCATCTCCTTTAGTCTAAAGTCTTTTTTTTTCATTCATCAGGTTTTTCTCTGTCATTTTAAGTTATTTTAACCTCAGAGCAATCCAACACTGACCTATACAAATTAGCACATTGGTGATGTGAAGGAATTTCTCATCAAAAGCAAGGCATTTTTCACTGACTGGACAAACCAGATGCAGCTTGGACAAACCTTCTGAACGACTAATGCACAATCTGCACTTGAGAATCTTGGTTTTGTTTTCTCTTGTATTACCTTCCAACCTAAGCTGTCTCCATCATCTTACCCTAATGAACAGTTTGAAAGGCTTAGGTTGTTCTTTCCTTGGTGAAGAAATCAAGTCCTATATTTTCCAGGGAGCTTGGTACTGCATCACTGTGAGAATATTCTATAGCACTTTATTCGTTTCCAAAGAGATCTGATTATTTTTCCCTTGCCTCATGATATTTTGATTCTCAATCAGTGGCAGAAATCACTGAGTGATCATATCTGTATAAATGCCTAGGATGCTGACTGAAGATAGTAATGACCATCAGATGACAGCAGTGGAATTTAGCACAAATAATTTCCTCTCTCACTTTGTAAACCCCAGCAAATATTTCCTCTTGCTTACTTAGGAGTCTCTTAAAATAAGAGTTGCATCTTTTGCTGTTACGTTCCTAATTACATTCATGATATCTTTGTCTGGAGTTTCAAACCATTAGTAGAATTTGATGCCGTAATCATCAGCTACATGACATAAATTTGTACAACCAACATGTTCAGTAGCTTATCTCAAAGATAAACTGGAGTGATCCTGTCACTAATCGGACTACATCCGTGCATGCATTTTGATGTGGTAAGTATGACCCAGTTTTCTTTAATCATGAATAATATATTGCATTAATCACTCTTGCCATTCCCTTCTTCCAAGCTCTGAAATCTTGCACAGTCCAGTCCAGCTTTATTGATAGTGGCAAGCTCCTCATCCTATTGTAACTTAAGAATGGTTGTACTGGCTAGACCAAAAGTCTACCTAGCCATGTATTTTGCCTCTGATGATGGCCACTATAAGCACCTTTATGCTTAAGGAAATTATTTATCATAAGTGTATATGTTAAATATTTACATATTTTACATGAGTTAACACATGGTATCTATAGTGGAGGAAGCATCGCTGAATATTTACCCTGTCTAGTAGTTTGTCCTATTCCTTCTGTAATGATAAATTTGCAAAGGTGCAAGTAATTTATTTTTTTCCTTCGCTGTGAACGGTAGTTTACCAGAGCCCTGGTTCAAGTTCATAAACACAGCCAGTACTCGTTTGCTGGAGTCTTTCTCCAAGTGTAACTTGTTTGGCCCTTTGCCATGATGGTCTGGCAATCTGGATTTGCAAGTGGATCAAAGGCAGAAAGCCATATAACTTGGAGGATATGGAAGTCACTGCCTAAAATTGGGGGATGGCTTCATTTTAGTGGCATTTGGTGGTTTCACTACACTCCCCATAACCCTAGTCCTCTTGTTCCCAAGCCCTCTACTGCTGTAATAAGTGCCATGTTCTGACACTGAAATCACCGATTTTAATAAAGAACAACCTCCCCAAACTTACAGAGACACAACACAATATCCTTAATTGACTGGTCAACTGCAGTTCAAGAGTTATTTCATCGGTGCTTTTTTTTTTTCCCCCTCACTTTGTAAATCAATATAACCTGGAAAAAATGTCAGGTTACGTGGGAGTCTCAAGCTAGTGAGAAGATAATTAGAAACGCCACAAGAAATCACAATTTTACGCTCAAACTCTTTAAACCGCAAGCCTGACGGATTGGTGCTATCAGAGGGTGGGAAATTTGTTTCTTTGGGCAATGGCTCAACTGTGAATCCTGTATTTCAGTGAAGGAAGAGAGTGGTTTTGAGCTGAAGGGAAAACGAAGTAGGAAGGTGCAAGTAAAGGCTGAAGCATCCCATAAGCGGAGCGGGGCTGACAGAGAGGGACCGCACCTGGCTGTAGAAGAAGTGTTAAGAAGCAGGAGAAAGGGGTTGTTCTGCCGGGTGAGAGCGAATAAGCCCCACAGCAAAGGCTTGCTGCGATGACCGCAGGCCGAAACACCCGTAAGGCAGAGGAGACCTTTCTTTGTAAGGTAGTGGGAACGGGGTGTGCAAAACGGCCGCGGCCCAGGTGCGAGCGGATGACAGAAAACACCTGGGGAAAGCCGCAGGAGCCGCGGTGACCCGGGCAATGGCTGGGCCAAGCGGAGCGGCCCGGTGGGGACCCGGCTCCGAGGCCCCGGGTCGGGAAGCCCCTTGCCGGCTCCGAAGGAGCGCGGCCCAGCCCGGCTGCCCCTCCCCGCCGATGCGAGAGAACGGCCGGAGCGCTGCGGCCGCCCTCGGCCGGCCTCCTCCCGCCAAGCCGAGTCCCCTCCTCCCCGCCGCCTTCCCGGCGGTGGCGGGCGGGCGGCCGAGGCGCTCGGGTCCTCGGCGGCTCTGCCCATGGGGGAGTGCGGGGTACCCCCCCAGGTCCAGCTCTTCCTCCGCGCCTGCGAGCAGGGCGACTGCGAAACCGCCCGGCGCCTTTTGGGGTTACCCGGCGGCGGCACCACGGCCGACCCGGCGGTTCCCTCCTCCTGCGGTACCGAGGAGGCGGCGGAGCCCCGCGGGGAAGCGCCCGCCCCGCCGGCTACCATCACCACCGCCGCCGTAGCCGTGGATTGCACCGACGAGGCCGGCAACACGGGGCTGCAGTTCGCCGCGGCGGGGGGACACGAGCAGCTGGTGCGGTTCCTGCTGCGGAAGGGAGCTTCGGTACAGAGCACGAACCACTACGGATGGAGCCCCCTCATGCAGGCGGCCAGGTAGGGGAGGGATCGGGGAGACAGAAGGGAGACTCCGGCCGCCATCCCGCTTCGCCGCGGGGCACCGGCCTAGTCAGCGGCCGGGCGCCGGCGGCAGCCCCGGGGCGGGGGAGGGAGGGCCGCCGAGGC